GTTGCTTAGACTACTTTGATCCTCCAGATGAAAAAGATGTATTTATCTTCATGGTTTCTATTTGTAATTCAACTGAATAAATACTTGAGAAAAATATTTGTAAYCTCTTGCTGTCAAAAAGAGTTTATAAATATACCTTTTCTTAGAGAAAGCCCAACTAAAACAGAGGGCCAACAGAAACAAGGAGGTAGTTTCAAGTGGTTTCAAATGAAACTATACTGGCCCCACAGCAACCATCACACTGAATTCCTAGGAGGTAGCAGCAAAATACTGTTCTAAGAATGTTTTATTTACGATTACAAATAAATATTTACCCTAGGAAATCACTGTCTAAAATCACACTATACAACAGAAACGAGAGAACGCCTTATGCTTGCCTCTAGTAAATAAAGCAAGTTGGGTCAAATTGCAATTCTAAAGGCAGCAATCATTTAATTAATCAATAAAAAAGCTTTAACTATGAAACAAAAAATTTGTGAGGCCCATGTTCACTTTGGTCACCCGAGTAGTCTCACTGACTTAATAACTACTCACAGGCATCTTCAGTGTTACCTTGAACCAGCAGCTATTGCACTCCCATGGTACAGTTGAATAACACTGTAATTCCATTCTAGGGCAAAACTTCTTGGCCGTTTAGCAGCTTTACAAGACAGAATTTTTACTGTAGACTGTGTGAATGAAAAATCTCTCTCTCTCTCTCTCTCTCTCTCTCTTTACCAAAGCTTACTTGGCATGTGAACTGCTACATCTCATACTCAAAACTCCAGGGAGTTCTAACCTGCCTCTAGCTAAAAGCTGTACAACCTTTAGATTGCAGTAGAGTGTAAAAATCACTCTAATTAAATCAAGTAAGAACTGGTTTGACCAGTGTTACTGATCCCCCAAATAGTTAAAATAAGTTAAGAAAAAAGTCAGGGATTCATACTTAGCTGTACTTAAACTTGTCTTTATTATTTTAAAGCAAGTTTAACAGTTGTGCAACTAGAAAGCAAATTTCAAATGAACAACAGTTCCAATCCATATTATAGCAAGGTATAAACCAGTACAGAATGCAACTGAGGACACTAATTTTCTCCTGGATATGACCTAGTGACTGCATCTTACAGCATGCCAAACTGCACTGAAAACCAGTTGAAGCTTGACCTGAAGCAGCTGCATTTCTGATGTATGCAAACAGAAGGGAGCACATAGTGTCATACATACTTAGACCAGTTTATATCAGTTTTGCTTCTGTCCCATTCGGCGTGCCCTCTGGACGTTACTGTTACACTGCGGTTGCGAGGCCTTGGTGACCTTTTAAGGCCCAGGCACGTTAGTGCACAACCAGCTGCCTCTGGCAGGCTGACAATTCCTGGCTCTCCTTCCAAGCCCCACGAGATTCAGCACTGGTAATCCCGTGTACGTCAAGATGCTTCACATGTACACCGTGTGATAGCAGGAAACATAACAACATACATTTCTGGTACATTAGTGCTACAGCATTTTTTGCCAAAATCTGGTGCCCTAAAGCCTCTAAAAGTCAGATAAACTGGGAAAGAGTAAAAAGGGAGTGTTCTCTCTTCTCCTACAGAGTACATAATTTCCTGCCCTGTGCACAAAGTCTGATTGGTTTCCTGTCAGAATAGTTGAGTTTCTGAGTCTTTTGATCACTTTTCTTGGGCCCTTCACAGCTGCTCTGATTAGAGATTGATCCCTGCACGGCTCTTTGATCAGCAGCTCTGGCAGTCTGCAGGTGCCATATATCATCACGTTAGCAAGCCACAGAAGCAGCAATCTCTCCTGCTAAATTTGATAGCATATTACATATTCTTCTRACTCATAATGTTTGCAAAGCCTCCAAATCTTCACTTTCTGTTAAAAGACATGGCATATACTACTTTTATCAAGGGAGTCCCGAGTTCAAAGTTGAAAGAACAGAACTAGCCTTGAATCTGCATTTCTTTGCTTCACTTTACTATAGCGCACAGGAGTTCGGGAGCTCTCAGCTTGTCCTTTTGTGTTGGGTTGTGCCCAGAGAGAAATTTCATTCCAGCTGACGTGCAAACTAGTAAAATATTTTTCCCTACATTATGCACCACGGTTTCCATGAATATATGCTAACAGCCCTAATTTTAGATGTTCCACACTAAGCGTGGTTTCATGTAGTATATAGTGTTTCAGTTTGTAAAATATTCTTTAAAATGACTTCATAACAACAGATCAAGAGGAAAGGCGCTTAAAAATCTGAATAATGTAAATCATATGGAGTTCAGAGGCTAAGCAAATTACACACCCTGAAGCTGCCCCTGCTGCATGAAAGGAGCCTTTCACCAGCTCCGCACAACCCCAGCCCAAGGGAGCTTGCACTGGAGAGCTTTCTAAACATTTCAGGTACACTTTAAAGTTGAAAGTAATTCTCATTTCCTATGCAGGATTAGCTCGTTTCCAGCCCATACAAAATAGCCCTCATTCAGGGAGAGGCACAAAAACCCCAACCCGCGAGGGCCAAGCGGAGAGGGTACACGAACACAAAATAAAAATATGAACTGCAGAAGGGAGGCGGGACGGCAGCGCCGCGCCGGGACGGGACGGGGAGCCTCCGGAGCGGCTGCCCGGCCGCTCCCGCCGCCCTGCTCCCCGCGGGGCCGCACAGCCGCCCGCCGCGACGCGCTGCGGCTCCCGCTCCTTCCCGCCGCGCAGGGGACACCCACGCACCCGCGCGGAGGGCCCTGTCCCGCGGCCCTTACCGTTGTGCTCCTTGGCGCCGGCGAAGGGGAACTTGCTGCCCAGGTCGGACTCGGCGGCGGCGCCGGGGCCGGCCGGGCCGCACGTCAGCACGAGCAGCGCCACGAGGAGCATCTGGCCGGCGGGGCGAGCGGCTCACGCGCAGCGGGCACTTGCGGAGCGGCGCCGGGGCCCGCGCGGCTCTCAGGGGCGCCGGGCTGCGCMGCGGCGGGGAAGGCAGCACTGAGCCCGCGCTGGCAGCACACAACCGCAGGGTAGTTTCCACATAATCCCATCCAAAACTTTTTCCTAGAGCCTTTTTCTGCGTCTCCAGGTTTTGTTTTCCTTTGGCTTTCTTTCCCCCCTCTCTCTCTCGAGGATCAAAGCAGAACCTGGCCCCAGCCCAGCTTCCCGAGGACTAAACAATGCGGGGCAGCGCCGGGGCGGGCGAGGCGGGGGCGAGCGGGCCCTGCTGCCGCGGACGAGCGCGCACCTGTCAGCCGGGGAGCAGCGGCGCGGCCGGGCGCGGGCTGGGAGGCAGGGCCGGCGGCGCGGGAGGCAGGGCCGGGGGGACGGCCAGCGTGGAGGCGGGGAGCGCGGAGGCCGCGCTGCCGGGGAGATGCCTCCCTCGCCCCGGCCTCGGGCAGCGCCTCGCACCTCCCCGGCCGCCGCCGCGGCCCCTCGGCGCGGGAGGGCGGCGGGGCTGCCCCGCGGCCCCCTGTCCCGCTCTCGCCCCCGCGCCGCCCCGCACCTGGTTGGAGCTTTTGCAGCGCCACAAGTTTTCGCTGGGGGAGAAGTTAGTGAAAAGCGGCCGGGCAGCGCCGGCGGCTGCACCGCTCCGCTCGCCCACGGCACCTCGCTCCCGAACTGCCTTTCCCAGGAACCCTTTTCTGGCTCCCGAAACTCCTCCCTTCTGGCTCCCCTTGCTCCGGAGCGCTCGCGCCGGCCTCGTCCCTTCTCCGCGCGGCCGGCGCCGGGGAAAGGAGGGAGGAGGGAGGCAGCCGGTGCCGCGCGGGCGGCCGTTGGGCTGGCGGGGGGGAAGCGGCGGCCGTTGGTCCGGGGGTGGGGCAGAGGCGGCAGGTGCGGGGGCGCGGGCGCCGCGGCCGCGTGCTCGCTCCGCAGCGCTGCTTCGCTCTCGATGGAGGACTGGGCAGCCCTCAGTGTGTCCCTAGAGCGGGCGCGCTCGGGAATGGCTTTTCTGCCATTACTCCTCCAACAGCCCCAACCGAACGTGCGGAGAGAAGCATCCTCCCATCAGCTTTAGCTTTAGGGAGGCCTGGGAGGACTGATGCAGAGCAGCAACCATCAGGATAAAGACGAGTCCAAACTCATTCGCTAGAGCCAAGAAAACTTTCCAAGCTCTTTGGAAAGGGGTTCAAACTCATCACAGTGTGACGGGGTCTGGGTAATGAGACYGAGCACCAGCTAAATAGTGGGACTGTGGGAGAAGTGATGGGGAGGATGAAACTTTCTCCTCAACTAAGAGATTTTCAGAGGTCCCACTCAGCACGTGGGCAAGATAAGCCAGATAAGAAGGGAGTCTGCACTGGTTAAGTTTGTCCATTCTCTAGATTTCTTACCCCTTGATCTAGCTCTTCTACCTTCTCAGCCAAAGCAACCCTCAAGAAATGACAAACTCCCCTCTGTTCCCAACAAGTCACATATTCTAGCAGCAACTGAAAGCTTTATCCAAGGTAAAMAGTGTTTTGAGAGGTAATCACAAAACATATTGCAATCCTCCCCGTACAGAGTGTGAAGAAAGCAAGCTACGGAAGAAAGCTGACTGTGTTCATTATTTTACTATTATTATTATTTACTCTCTGTTGTTTTTCATTTTTGTTATTTAAAATGGCAGGAAAATTAAAATGTACTACTCCCAGATCTTTTACCTTGAGGATGACAAGCTGTGTTTTCTTGCAATCAAATAAACTAAATACTGCACTGTAGCTTAATGTCCATTTCTTAAAATTTTTTTAGAAGCGTCTTTGTATTTAAGGAAATGGATGATAAGTTTTTGGACCTATATGATGTCTCAAGCTGCCTATATGAAGGCTAAAACGGCGAACATACTCTACAGCTTTCAGAATCTAGGCTTCATCAGACCAGTGTTTCATCTGGCTTCCTGGCTCTGACATTTCAAAGGAAAATGCAAGAAACCCCATAGTGGATGAATATGGAATAACACTGTCTGGAGAGGGAGCTTTTATTCTCAACCTTCACTAACTACAGATGAGGGTATAATTTTGATCACAAGAATCTACATCCCTTTCAAAAATACTTTTGTTGTTAATCCCATACAAAAGATTGAGTGTGTTAATAAGCAATTGCTTGTAAAAGTCCAATCTTCTCTGAAATTCAGACTGAGCATTTATTACCAGATATCTATGCTTATATTCTATTTTATACTTTTCAGTTTCATTAGGTATATTTATGTGCTTGAAGTAGGAGAATAGGTTAATATAAACAATTTAACTTCTCTAYTCTGTTCATTTTCCGTATTATAACCTTATCATATCTTTCAAACTTATCATATTTAAGCATTTCTAAGCGCCATTTATTTCTGCTATATTTTATTTGAGGCAGGACAACCAACTGTGCCATATTCCAGGTGAAGGCTGGATTACATGACTAAAGCAGATTATTTATCCATAATAGGTATCACAAGCCACACACAGCCTTCTACTTCCCACTTTTCTCCATGCTCAGATGTACATTTAGGTCTTCTTTGTCTTTTGGATCCCAGTGTATTACCATGCCTYGTTGCTTCTCACAGCCACTTTGCTTACATTTTGCAGACTTTTGATGGTGTTTGTAGTACTTTGAATTTTGGATAATTTTTTAATACAGTTATTCAGTTGTGTATCAAGTATTTTGAATATTACAACAGGCATTTCTACATTAATTGTCATCTTCAAATTGTTTGAGAGACATAACACTGTTTTGTCCTTGTCAAATTGATTTATAATTCTTTTTTTATCATCATTTACAATTTTATAAATGATTTTTCCTGTTCTGAAATAAAATTCTAATTATCTAGATCTCTCCAGAGGAATTTGTTCTGTACCACTTCCAGAAATAATGTTACTGAGACCAAGTCCCCCAAGAAAACAATGGAAATTTATTCTTTCGGGATTCCAGGGTCTTGTTGTGGTGATAACTATAAAAATTGTTGAAACAAAAAGGCTTTCTTTGTGATTACTATAATTAATTTAATGAATTACTGAATTTGGAATTGGTGCATTGGAATTGGTGAGATGCAGGGAAGTTCATGTTCTGTCCTTTATGAGTTGAGCTGATACCAACAGGTTCACCTTGCTCCCATGGGTTTTAGATACTCCGAGCAAGCTCTGCAAGGAAGCAAGGAAGCTCTGCGGTCCTCAGAAAGATTCCTCCTTCTCCCTCCCCAGTGATATAAGCATTTCTCTTCCAGGGGCAGAATACAATATTTGGGAGAAAAAAAAGAAAAGGCTGACATAAACCCCCTTTTATGGATGAGATGCCACTGAACAGAGATGCTCCAGGAAGTGCATAACTCCACAATTAATTCTATCAAATTCAAGTCCCACAAAAGTTAGAATTAGGCATTTCATGCCTGTTTGCAGAATTAAGAACCACTGTTAGGTAAAGAAGATTGATCCTTTTGTGTTCCCACTCCTTGTCTCACTTCCTATGAGGAATTAAAAAATACCAATTGATATATGCACTTATATATTCTTTGTGAAATCATATCAAAGAAAAATGAGCATTTTGCAAAATTTAGCATGTAATTTAAAAGTAATAAACACCTGATCACCCAGACACACAGACAAATGTCTGCTTTTGTGCTAGATTCTCTTGATTTCAGTGTCATTACATATAAATGTACTGCTGGCATAAGAGAGTTGAGGTTTAAATATTTGTGTTCATGTTATGGATTTATTTTTAATTGTCCAAAGAAATCTTTAAATACTTAATACTTGAATATTATATTTCCAAAAAAATCTTGTAAGGATGTGTGATAAAGTACGTGGACTGAGACTGCAATGGACACTAATTGTCTTTAAGAAGAGCAACAAAACAATATTCTGCTCTCATGATCACCAAGCAATAGAAAATGAGATGTTTGTACAAATAAACACACAGTACATCTAATCTCACTAATGTCAGATAAAGAGGCTTCACATCAAATCTTATGGAAAATCTGATTCTTGCATTAGAAAGTCCTTTTGTAAGGGAAGTAGTAGTAAACATTGTGCAGTGGATTTATATGGGTATTACTCTTAATAAATAAAGAGTCCTATTTATATCTTGGGAGATACATGAAGGCAGCCAATCTAATCTGTCCTTTCTACCACAAATACAACTAGCTCATTATTTCTGTGTTTTGGAATCAGTCATTTACTAGATAGTTTGCTGAATGTGCGCGGTCCCTTCAGAGTCTAAAATAGAGAATACTGCTCTTGGAGGAACATTGAAAAGCTGCAAGTGAGAATGACATGTTATTTACCACTAAGCAGCGGAAAAGTAATGAATTATGTTATGAAACTCATCCTCAAGAATCATCATTGGTAGTTGTTACATGTTCCCCTTAACTGCCTATTTAATTGTGGTATTTCAGCTTTTTTGTTCATTCCTTCTGAATCTGTGCACAAATTGAAGGCTTGTGATGCAGTTTCTATGTAACATTCTAAAACATAATGAGGAAAACAAATGAAGTTCAAGGAGGCTTCAGCTAAGCTGATGATTGTGCAGTGTGGCTTCTCAAACATAGTAAAAATAAAAGGTCTCTGAAGGAAATTTGGTCACTTGGACCACAAGTTAGTAAGGTTGCATTTATTTCTATTTCAAAACACTAAAGTATTTTCATTTTAGTCTTGTGACTTGAGACTTGTGACACCTGAAGATAAATATTTGGACATCTACATCTAAACACATTGACGTTGTTCTGCTCAGTGTTGCATAGCTTAAGCAATCATTTTCCAGAATGACTCAAATGTTTGAGAACCAAAGTCCTTATTGTACAATTGTATAATTCACACTTATTAACACTGGGTTTAAAACAGTCACATTTAGATTTGAAGTATTTGATTAACTGCATGCAAGTGGTCCACGCTAAGTACAAGCTCAGCTTCATGGAGGCTCTGGGAGCTCCAGAA